TTTCCTATAGGACTTGCCCTCCCACCTTCAGTGACCACCTGCTGTGCCCCTTCTTCATTTTCCAACTCTGCAAACCTGTTCCTGAGCTCTATTTCTCCTTCACTAGCCCGTCATTTCCTCTGCCTGGTTCTCTTAGTCACACGCATCCACTGTCCACTTTCCTCAGCAGTCTCCCCTCAAGAGTTCTTTGATCCTGCTTCCATCTGCAAGTCTGAGCTTTCCCTTCAGCCTCCTCATGTCTTTGCTCCATCATCTGCTTGATCCCCCTTCTGAACTCAACCAGAGTTTCCACCTGCATCTCCAATCCTCAGATCTTTTCTTCCATCAGTTCTAACAGGCGGCACTTCATGCAGATGAAACTCTTTTCAGGTACCCCCTCCAGGATCATGTACATGCCGCAGCTTCCACATCCAGTCATCTTCATTGAGTCTTCCACTGCTGGGTCACTATCACTGCTGCCTCTGTGTCTGTCATAGCCTTCTCACCTAAGTCCTGTTAGTCCGGGAAACACAAACCAAACAAAACACCACCACCCCCAGCAAAACAAACCCCCAACGAGCACCAAAACACTGCCAGGCCACCACACACTCCCTTCACTACCCTGTCTGTTCCTCTGCCTGGCTCTCTTAGTCTTCCCCCAAACTCCCCTTGCAAACTCCCACTCAAACGCCCTGTTTACAGCTCTGTTTGCTGGCTCCTGTGCCGCTGCAGCTGTCTATGCTGCTGCCTGGCTACCTTTATAGGACCCCTAGTTAGAGAAGCCCCACCCCCTAATCAGGGCTCAGCTTCTCTCCCAGCAAATGTGGCAGTGAGCACAGCTGTGATACCACAGGTCAGACTCCACATGCAAGGCCTCCAACTATGCTTTAGCTTGGTTTACAGATTGAACAGAGACTGTCTGGACCAGTGGTTCTCAACTTATTTACCACTGTGGACTGCATCCAATACTACCTCTATGGCCCCGAGGAAGTCACATGGGCCACGACTGTGTGCTGATTGGGCCAGAATCAGCCCATGGGCTGCAGGTTGAGAACCACTGGACTATGGACAAATCCCTGTCACGACCCACTTGGGTGAGACAGACCTGGTACCCTTACCTGACACAGCTTGCGCTATGCCCTCCACTCTCCTTTCTGACCTCCTGAGTGGTTCTACCACCTAGAAAGCTCATGCTCAAAGGAAGTGAAAAAGGTTCTACGACACAGTAGAAATTTCTCCACATGACTTACTTACCTGCAAAAAGGTTTCAGATTTGGTTCATGTCCCAACAAACCTCTCCAATGTCTGCAACTCTTTCCCATATTCTGGAATATGCTCTGACCCTTAAAAAATTAGGGTTATCCCTGAGTTCTCTTAGGGTCCACCTCGCACGTATTACAGTTTTTCACCAGCCATAGATGGATACTCAATACTATCGCACTCAACCTCTACAAGCTTCCTTCAGGGTATAATAAACCTCTTCCCTCAACCTTGACTCCCTACCCTTTCATGGGCCCTAAACCCTGGTACAGAAAGGGTTGACTAGGCCCCTCTTTGAACCCATGACCACCTGTTCGCTAATGTACCGATCAACGAAAACAGCCTTTCTGATAGCAATTAACTTGGCTAGAAGAATAGGGGAGATAGCAGATTTCATAGGCATTGACTTTGTGTGTGCTCCAAGGCTGGAGCTCCCACGGGGAAAAAATGGTGGGTGCTGAACACATACTGACAGCCAGCTCCCTGCCCTCCCCTGCAGTGCCTCCTGCCTGCCAGTGGCCCTGCCAATCAGCACCTCCACCTCCCTCCCAGTGCCTCCAGCCCGCAGCAGATCGGCTGTTCTGTGGTGTGCAGGAGGTGCTGGGGGCAGGGGCGGAGTGAGGGCAGGAAGAGATGGGGGTGGAGCAGGGTCGGAGTGTGGGCGGGAAGAGATGGGGCAGGGTGGGGGTTGAGGGGAAAGGGTGGAATGAGGGCAGGGCAAGGGCAGAGCTGGTGGGTTGAGCACCCCCAAGCAGATTAGAAAGTCATCGCCGCTGGCAGCTTTGGTGGCGTATCCCCCCTACACAGCATTCTTTCCTGACAAGGTTACACTCAGGCCGCATCCAAGGTTCATCTCTAAGGTAACCTCCCCTTTTCATATGAGTCAGTCAATCCATCTTCCCATTTTCTACCCCAAGCCTCTCCAAGACAACAGGGAGGCTATACTGCACACCTTAGATGTTAGGGGAGCCCTAGCATTCTACCTCAATAGGACAAAAGCCTTTCAGAAGTCCCTGAAACTTTTCCTCTCTATGGCGGAAAGATCCAAGGGGTCAGCAATATCAGCCCAAAAACTCTCTAAATGGGTCTAGAATTGCATCAGACAGTGCTACCAAATTCGTAACATGACCTGCTCCTGCCTTGATCCGTACACTTTCCACAAGATCAGTCTCATCTGTTGCCTTCCTTAAGGATGTCCCTATCACAGAGATCTGCAGAGCAGTGACATGGGCATCAGTCCACACCTTCGCAGAATACTATGCAATCACTGGGGACTCTGCTTCTGATGCCATCTTCAGCTCCACAGTGCTGTCATCTGTAACAGACTCAACTCCTAAGCCCAGCCGTCAAGAAGAGGTACTGCTCGGGAGCCACCTATCATGGAACAACCATAGGGACACTACTTGAAGAAGAGGTTACTCAACTTGTGCAGTAATGATGGTTGTTCAAGATGTGTCCCCCTGTGAGTGCTCCACAACCTACCCCCTCCCTTCTACTTTGGGGTTCTCGTTTATGACTATGCAGTAGAGAAGGAATTGAGGATGGTTAGCCCGGACAAGCTGACTAGCCTCGTGGCACAGCGGATACTGCTACCAAAGTTCTCCAATCAGCAGCGCAGGGACACAGACACACCTAGAATAAAAAGAATGAGGAGTACTTGTGGCACCTTAGAAACTAACCAATTTATTTGAGCATAAGTTTTCGTGGGCTAAAACCCACTTCATCGGATGCATGCAGTGGAAAATACAGTAGGAAGAGATAGCTTATGCTCAAATAAATTTGTTAGTTTCTAAGGCACCACAAGTACTCCTGTTCTTTTTGCTGATACAGACTAACACTCATGGAGCAGGTCCTCAAAGAATCAATCCTGAAGCACTTACATGAGAGGAAAGTGATCAGGAACAGTCAGCATGGATTCACCAAGGGAAGGTCATGCCTGACTAATCTAATCGCCTTCTATGATGAGATTACTGGTTCTGTGGATGAAGGGAAAGCAGTGGATGTATTGTATCTTGACTTTAGCAAAGCTTTTGACACAGTCTCCCAAAGTATTCTTGTCATCAAGTTAAAGAAGTATGGGCTGGATGAATGCACTATAAGGTGGGTAGAAAGTTGGCTAGATTGTCGGCCTCAACGGGTAGTGATCAATGGCTCCATGTCTAGTTGGCAGCCGGTGTCAAGTGGAGTGCCCCAGGGGTCGGTCCTGGGGCCGGTTTTGTTCAATATCTTCATAAATGATCTGGAGGATGGTGTGGATTGCACTCTCAGCAAATTTGCGGATGATACTAAACTGGGAGGAGTGGTAGATATGCTGGAGGGCAGGGATAGGATACAGAGGGACCTAGACAAATTGGAGGATTGGGCCAAAAGAAATCTGATGAGGTTCAATAAGGATAAGTGCAGGGTCCTGCACTTAGGACGGAAGAACCCAATGCACAGCTACAGGCTAGGGACCGAATGGCTAGGCAGCAGTTCTGCGGAAAAGGACCTAGGGGTCACAGTGGACGAGAAGCTGGATATGAGTCAGCAGTGTGCCCTTGTTGCCAAGAAGGCCAATGGCATTTTGGGATGTATAAGTAGGGGCATAGCGAGCAGATCGAGGGACGTGATCGTCCCCCTCTATTCGACATTGGTGAGGCCTCATCTGGAGTACTGTGTCCAGTTTTGGGCCCCACACTACAAGAAGGATATGGATAAATTGGAGAGAGTCCAGCGAAGGGCAACAAAAATGATTAGGGGTCTGGAACACATGACTTATGAGGAGAGGCTGAGGGAACTGGGATTGTTTAGTCTGCAGAAGAGAAGAATGAGGGGGGATTTGATAGCTGCTTTCAACTACCTGAGAGGTGGTTCCAGAGAGGATGGTTCTAGACTATTCTCAGTGGTGGAAGAGGACAGGACAAGGAGTAATGGTCTCAAGTTGCAGTGGGGGAGGTTTAGGTTGGATATTAGGAAAAACTTTTTCACTAGGAGGGTGGTGAAACACTGGAATGCGTTGCCTAGGGAGGTGGTGGAATCTCCTTCCTTAGAAGTTTTTAAGGTCAGGCTTGACAAAGCCTTGGCTGGGATGATTTAATTGGGGATGGGTCCTGCTTTTGAGCAGGGGGTTGGACTAGATGACCTCCTGAGGTCCCTTCCAACCCTGATATTCTATGATTCTATGAACACGGCTACCACTCTGAAACCTGACACCTAGAGTAGAGCACCCATAGGGGGACACATCTCAAAGAACCATCGTTACTGCACAAAGTGAGTAACTTCTTCATGCACTAAAATCACCACTGAAAAATTGAGAAATTATGGTTTGAAGTGTCTGCTTGCCTCCTTGTCTGTATTCAGTCATGTTTGTTAACTCTAGAACATGATCCAGGTCCCACTGAAGTCAATGGAAAGACTCCCATTGACTTCAATGGCTTCATATTAACTTCACCTGAGCAGGCCACAGGTGACAAATATATACAGTAATGTTTATTATGTTCATTAATCCTGCAGAACCAAAACAGCTTATGGAGAGTGAGCTGGATTCTGTTCTCTCTTATGCCTCATCAACAGCATTGCTTACTAAGCACCAATCAGTTACATCTATGCACGCACCAAAGGCAATTGGGTTGTGTATGTGTGACAGGCAGAACCTACTGTTGAAAAGGTCAGAGAAGGAAAGAACAGAGCTTGATTCTTAGCATCCTGATTGAGTTTACTGGGCTGGAAGCTAGAAAAAAAAAACACACCAAATTTTTTACTTGTAAAAAGTTGAGCACTTTTATTGCAGAAATGATTCAAGAGACAAACACGGAACCTTACAATGCCATTTTTCAGAGCAGAATTGCACCTGAAGGGGAATCTCCATACTCTATGTAATAGGTGGGTACAGTGTTTGAGAACTGTGGTTCATTCATATCAGGAGTTATTACAGCTATGGTAATGGAAGATCATGTGTCTGAAAGCTTTGTAAATGTACTGATTCTGGGTACAAATGAAACCACCACTTCTCCAAGCCTGTTGAGGAGCACGGTTTAAGTCTCCAATGCACGTCCACAGATCTTCATATCTCCAGGAAACACACCATTTAGAATGATCATAATAGGAATGGAAAGTGGAATTCCCTGGTGTCTTAATGAGGTTTATGTTGTAGACGTGGTGTTGGAGAGAGCAGTTTGAGGGAAGCTCCTGTCCATCATGCTGCCAGGATTCTGCTAACAAATCTGTCTGCAACTGTTGAGCCATCCAGGCTACGTAGATATCTGTGTAATTTCAGAAGATGTAGGAAAATGATGTTTAACAAAGACAACTGAACAAAAGTAGTTTGAAACAGTCTGACTAATATTCCCTTCCCCTCTCATTTTCTCAGCTCTCAATCTCTTAGTTTTTGAGATGTCAGTAGTCCTCCAACCACCTTAGAGTCTTCCAGAGAAGAGACAGCCTGAATCTCTAATGCAAGGAATAAGCAGGGAAAAGCAAGCAACCAACCAAACACACACTGGAAAAGAAATCGTTCATACCTTCTTTGTACATGCTGAAGCAGCAAAAAAGAAATACACAAGCCCATCTTTTTCCTTTGAGTAGTAAAAGTAGAGTAGTTTTAAGAAGATCCCTATACTGAACACCTTACAATACAAAGTGCCAAGCAGCTTTTCTCTTTGCTCTGTCTTGCTACTAGTATATCTCCTATTTTGTGTATTTGTTAGTGGTTTCCAAAAGTGTCAGTATTATGATGCAACAATGTTCCCTACCCACTGTTATGTTCCTGTCTGTGGTTGAACTTGTTTCCCTCCAAGAAAATGCTTTGTTTGTTTCCCAAGAACGTGTATTTGATAAGGACAGTTTTTCTTACCATCAACAAAAAAGCGTGATTTAGCAAAGTGGAGGAAGTTTTCTCCCTGGGCTGACTGGAGTTTGGAGAGGTGGCGCCAAGGGACTAGAGGCAGTGCAGAACCTACACAGAGCTTTTGCAGATTTGGGAGGTCAAGCTGAAAGATGTCAGGGATGGAGCAGTTGTAGATGTTTGGATTGTAGCATAACAACTGTTTGTCTGAACAAAACCAAAGACATTAACAAGTACAAGATTAGGAAATATTAAAGATAAGCGATTAAGTTCTAAAGTACGGTTCTAACCTGACAAGTGTAACTATAAATTTGGTGCCTTTTCACTCCTCACATCCTGTCTCTTTAGTATGTTCAAGGTCAGATTTACTGACTTTAGTGACAAAAAATATTTCTCCTGCTTTTTATTCCTATTAGCCCTGCAGGTCAACACAGCTGAGAGCGTAAGCTGGGTTCTATTTCCTCTTGTGCATCACTGACAGAACAGTGAGTGAAGGCCTCAGTCCTGCAGACACTTCACACACACAAGCAGGTCACATGTGTAAAGTTAAGCAAAGGCATGTCTGCAGGATCAGGTTCCAGTCATTCCACCTGTGAAACCCCTTTCCCAGCAATAGGGCTGCAGAAGGGTCACTGTGGGTAGATCCACAAAAAGATGTAAGTGTCTAACTCCCACTGTAGGTGCCTAAATTCAAAATTTAAATCCTCAAAACCCCTGCTTTGCTGCTGCCTTATACTGTAGGTACCTATGTTTCTACTGGTAAAGTCTTCTAGGTGCCTAATTTCTGTTGGTGAGCATGCGCAAAACCCCCTTGGCCTGGTGCCCAGCATCTAGCTCATGCATAAGCCCCAGCAGGATCCTCAGGTTGGCATTTCCCCACCTACCGGATCAGCACCAAAACACAGCTGGAGGCGGTGCAGCTCTTTTACCAAACAGCCAGAGCATTCACGCAGGATGTGGTCGATCCAGTTTCCCCTGCCGGATGTGGGGCAGGGACTTGAACTCAGGTCTCTTACTATCCAGGGGAGTTCCTTAATCAGTGGGCTATGGGGCAGTGGTGGGCCGCCGCTTCCTGCAGCTCCCATTGGCAGGGTACGGCGAACCGCGGCCACTGGGAATTGCGGGCGGCCGTGCCTGCAGACAGTCAATGTAAACAAACTGTCTCACGGCCTGCCAGCAGATTACCCTGACTTGGTCACATGCAGCCCACAGGTTGCCCACCACTGCTATGGGGTATCTGGGCTAGATGTTTCTCAGACCTTCCTGTTGAAGTTTGTACAAAATACTTACATATACATTGGGCCAGGGAAAAAGGGAGAATGGCTCTGTAGCCCAGTGGTTAGGGCACTCACCTGGGAGACTGAGGTTCCAGTCCCTGCTCCAGTGATGCTGGGCTTAAGGGCACCACCAGTGGTTTTTGCAAGAAAGGACTAACCTGGCTTAGACACTTAAATCTAGGAGAGTGAATCCCATGTAGCAGGACGTGCCTCCTGTTAGCTGCCTAGCTCTCTTTGAGGAACAGGACATAAACCCCACCCATCTCCTCAGCATTTCCTATTTGCTAATTTATATAGTTTCTCCACTCCAACATGTTGGTTTTTGTGAATCCCATTCTTAGGTGCCTATCCCTCCCAAGCATTGTACAGGGAGCCTGGGCACCTAACTCAGGGCTGTGGATTCCAATAACTGGCAGGGCACCTAAAATTCAGGGCATTGAGACACTGAGTTTATGTCCACCTTTGTGGATCCTTCTGCAGCCCTGTTGCTGGGAAAAGGGTTTCACAGGTGTAACTGATTAGAACTTAGACTGTGATCCAGGGATGTAATGTGGCCTGCAGCATCTTTATCACTGAAGATGTGTGATCAGGAAAGAACAGAATTTGACTTTCAGAATCCAGGTTGAGTTTGCAGCGCTGGTAATTCAGTGAGTCATCTCTCGACTTGTAAACCGAGCACACATGATATGAAAAGCATTGAGGGACAATGAACATTGCATCCCACAATGCTTTTTACAGTCACTTTTCAGCGCAGAATTACATTCTGAGATACCTGCCAGTAATCAAAAGAATTATTTCCATTTGTGTTAGTATTGATATTTTATGTGACAAAAGGTCCTCATATAAATTCCTGTCTTCCCACCCCTGCTATTACTACATGCCATATTTTACCTGGAGAAGAGCTCAATGTAGGTCGAAAACTTGTCTCTTTCACTGACAGAAGTTGGTCCAATAAAAGAAATTACCTCACCCAGTTTGTCTCTCTGATACCTTGGGACAAACACGACTACAACATTGCAACATATTTCTGATGTATCAGTGCTGTTACTCCAGCTCCAACAACGCCCAGTGATGTTTTAAATCATGAAGAAAGTTTAAATTATTATTATTATTAATGACCATTATGCATTTTTACAAAGCTTTACATTTTCAAAGCCCTTTACACACAAACTGAGGAGGAGGTTGTCATACCTATTTCTGCAAACTGGTTATATCTGAACGTTATACAGATGGCCATCTGTGCATTTTGCTTTCCAGTTGGTGGATATCCATAACCCTCCTCAGGAAATGGAGGGAACAGAGGGATGCTGTGAATCCCCCAGAAACCTTGTGATTTGTCCAAGAGCAGAAATCCTGTCAAAGTACAGTTATTGCAGATAAATTAAGAAACCCATCTAGGAAATACAGAAGAACATTGTACTGTTCTAATACCAGAGGGCAATACAATTCAAGTTGGATGGTAATGTCCTATTTTAACTTTATTTATGCTACTATTATATATTACCTTAATAGATAATAAGTCAACAACAACACTTTGCACACCTACGGTGCCTCCCATTCAAGGATCTCTAAACTTTTCACAAATATTATTGCATTAATCCTTGTACCTCTTTTTGACCTTCGTACCTCTTTTAGACCCATTTTATAAATGTGGACTCCAAGGCATAGAGAGGGTAAGTGACTTGTCCATGGTGTCCCAGAAAGTTTGTGGCAGAGCTAGAAATACAACCCAGCTATTTTAGTTCCCATTGTATTGCCTTTCTACAGCATATTTTTTTCAAAGGATCCCAAAGCACTTTACAAACTATAAATACAGGAATCAGTTTACCTATCACCAAAGTGCAGCCATCTCTATGGAACAGAATCACTGATTCATGACAATGCTACATTACATGCTAGGAAAGAAAATGATTAATACATTCGCCAGTGGAACCTGACTGGAGCTGATCCCCTACTTCGGAAAAACACCATGGGATCTTTAACGAGCGCAAAGGCCAACACCTCCTTTCTACTTCCCATCCAAATTATATTTAGAAATCTAACAGCATAAGAATAATGGCATTGACTCTGTCTCCACATCATAGCACCTGATCCTCAGCCAGCCTGAAAGGGATTCATCATGTAAGAGAAAACTCACAATGTCAACATGGTGTCCACCACCATTGAGCAAATCCCTCCCCAAGCGGGGCTTAGAGGAGGCAGCAGGTGGGGGGAGAAATTGGTCTCACAGCAGGCATACTGCCGTGGAGGCAGAGAAGAGACAAGGTTTCCAGGGACCTCATCACATCTGCAATCTGAAGATTTAGGGGAGTCAAAGACTCTGCTCATTCTACAGGGAGTCTGACCAAATCTGGCCCCCTTCCTCCTTGGAACAATTAGAAATTCACTGAGTCCCCAATTCAGAAACCACATAAGCATGTGTTTAACTTTAAGCATGTGCTTAAGTCCCAGTGACTTCAGTGGGACTTAACCACATGCTTAAGTCATTTCCTGAATCGTGGGCTCAGTTCCTTAACTTCCTATGGAATTTTCCATCGGTAGAGCAGAATTTGGGGGTTTGTATTTCTCATTCTGTCACATAGGATAGTTGAAAAGCTGTTGCTGTCCCAGCCAGTGTTGCTGGCAGCACAATGCGCAACTGGGCAAAGGGCAGAGTGTGGCTTTCTCCTTGCAAAAAGTGAGGAATATCAATTTCAGCGCCTGTGAGAAGGGTGTAAGGGCACTACAGATGTGGAGCTGCTCTATAGCACAGATGCCGTGAAGAGAAATCCAAAAAAAGTAGATACAGCATTGGCATGTGTTAATATTACCCACACCACAAACACTACCACACAAACCGCTCTTTCGCTTTGGCCTAAACAGGGGTTTCATTTTCAATATATAGAGCCAGATAAAGACAGAAATTCTCATCCATAAAGAAAAAAACAGAGAACAGAACTATCCCTGTACCTTTAGTGTGTCCTTGTTTCCAGCTGTAATGCTTTGAGTGAGGGACATCATCATTGTATATCACATAGACAGTGCTGTCGTTCTGCAGAGAAATATCCAATTTGTGACACATTAAATTCAATGAAAGGAAAGAGTATTTCTATTTGTAACAGAATAAAGAACTTCAGAGATGGAAGACTTTGGGACAAATTCTCCTCTCACACTGCTGCAACCTCATTGATTGTAATGGGGTTAGCACTGGAATAAATTAGAACAGAATACAGCTTTGAGATTTTGATTCTTTCATGTAATATGAAATGCAACCAAAAAATGCATGTTCTCCTGAACAGTAGAAGAGGCCTTCCCAGAGAGATGGCTAGGTCAGATATGTGCAACAACACGATTTGTAAGCACTTTATTGGGTAACAACCTGCAGTGCAGCTTTTTCTTTTTCTTTGCAATCTGTTGTTGATTTACAACCAGATGTTGGAAAAGTGTTTATCAAATGCTTGTTTAGGAAATGCAGCCATGCCAACTGTTCTTCTTTAGGAGGAACAGTCCTAACTTTAACAAGGCACACATATTCCATCCTGTCCTTCCTAAAAGTTCTCTTTGCCTAATCCAGTGGTTCTCAAATGACGGCCCACAGGCCGCTTGCGGCCCAATCAGCACACAGCTGCGCCTGATGTAACATCCTCAGGGCCATACAGGTAGTATATACTATGTGGATGAGGGCCGCATAACACACAGAGAGCTTCATATGCAGCCCACAATGGTAAATAGGTTGAGAACCACTGGCCTAATAGTTTTCAGTAGAGTTTAGAGGTGTTTTTCTCCCCATATCTTGGCAGAACTGAAAGATTAGTAACTATTGGCTACATTCTGGGATTGTAAACAGCATCTTCCACTTACAAAGCACAAGGATAATGCAAATATTTGATTGACTTCTTGAAATCTCTCCCATACACAAATTCAAATAAACTAAAAATGTTAAAATAATGTTACTGGTCTAATCTGAACCCACAAGAAAAATGCAAAGACATAGCCAAGATTAACACTCAGTGTCTAATTCACCCCTTTGTGACCAGAGATGGGGGAAAGTGATGGTACATTCTCTAGATTATGGACAGTTGTGAAGTTACTCAGAATTGTAGGACTAAGAACCACTGTGCTCAGAAAAGTAAGGAGGAAAATGTACATACTAGATTATATGGACAGCAAACAATAGTTACACACATAAAGCTTAATTCTGCCACCTGTATTCAGGTTGAGCTTGATTCTCCACTTCCTTGTACCTCGTATAGTCATTTATATCTGTATATAGTGGGTGTAAGATGTTTGGATCTAATACCATTTTCAACCACTTTGCGCAAGTCTAAATGACTATGCAAGGTGCGGAACAGTGGAATATCAGGCTCATCAAACAGTATGTTGCATTGCAAGTAGCCATATTGATTTCAGTGGGAGTACATGAAGATTCAAATACTGCTCAGCATGAGTAAGGATGACAAGACAGGACCCATAGGGACAGTGTAATAATCTGAATTTTGAATATCTTTTCTATTGGCAATATATTATTTATCATAATTCTTTAGTATTTGTATTGCGGTAGCACCTAGAAACCCATCATGGACAAGGAAACCATTGCACCAGGTGCTGTACAAATACAGTCCAAAAGACTTTTCCTGCCTGGAACTGGGCTCCCAGGAGAGCCAGCTGAGGTCACTCAATTAGGGTGAACTGCAAAGAATGGGGCAGACAATCCTCAAAACTGGTGGATATTCCAATACTTAGATTTAGTAAGCCAGCCCAAATTAGCTTCTGCTATACTTCACGGGTTACTCAGAAGTCCATAACACAGTTCCCTTAAAGTAATCCAGCCTCAAGCCTACACCTAGTTACCCAAATCAGATATAATGAGGATTAATAAAAATCTTATTTAATCATATAAGAGAAAAGGTTCTACCAATCCCAAAGGATTGGACACATTACCTCCCAGGTTAATGAACATTCCAGATCTCACCCAAATACAAGTTTACAGACAATTCTTATTAACTAAACTAAAATTTATTAAAAAAGAGAGAGTATGGTTGAAAGATCAATATACATACAGACATGAGTTCAATTCTTGAGATTCATATTCATAGCAGAGATGGTGAACTTCGTAGTTGCAAAGAGTTCTTTTAGAATTTAGTCCATAGGTTACAGTCCAATATCCAATATTATATTCAGGGTGTACCAGCTTAACTGGGATTTCAATCTTATGACTCAAACTTCCCCTGAGGTAGCTTAAGGAGATCTGAGATAAAAAGGATTGGGACCCAAGGGTCTTTTATACAGTTTTCTAGCAGCCACTTGACTGTACAGTCCTGGGTAAACAATAGGCTTTTGATGTAACCTTCTGTTTCCTAAGCACCACCAGTAATTAGTTACACAAATTAACATAAGGCAATTTATCCATTAGTTAGTCTATCACAAACTTCAAAGAGACATATAGACACTGACATTATTTCACGCAAGATTCATCTAAATATTAATATTCCATTTTGATTTCTGAATTAATAAGTGACAGACAGGAACTGTTTGTTTACACGGCTAACGTTTATGAGTACACACAGACAATTAGTATCACTTCTAACAATATTAGTTTGCATTTCAAAGTTCTAGCCAATCTAACATTGAATGGCCCTCATTACCATTCGCATACTTTCTAATATGACTTTAAAGGTTGGCTTTGGGTCATTCAGCCTGCAAACTGTTTGACCCTTTCTGGCCGTGTATTATACTTTGTATAAGATTTGTTGCAATTATATAACAGTGGTAGCAATAATGATTTGCATGATTATATTTTAATTAGACAATGTCACACTGTCCCAAAAAGCTTACAGTCTAAGGAATCCTTAGCAATATTTAAACTGTGAAAGGTTTTACAACCCAGAACTTGCTCAAATACATAGGGCCTTCCAGTAAACCTGCAAGCAATCTGCCCTCCTCTATGAATGTTTTCAGACCTGTGTTGGTGCAGATCAGTCAATGTATTCCTCTTTTTTATTAATATGAAATATTTTAGTTGAACCTCATCCATCAGGTCACACAATGCTTATAAACACTTATTTTGGCTCAGTCACTGGTTTCATTTCATTTACATTTTAGAAGTGTTTTTTAAACTATAATATAAAGAAAATGTGTTAAAATGATAATAAAATATGCCTTGCCTTGGATTTATGAGCTTCATAAAGTTGGTTTAATGTTTGCCCCAGGGCACTCTGTGTCATATTGATCAGGAATTTACTCAATTGCCAAGCTTGCGTCAAAGAATCCATGTAAATGTACTCCAGTCCAGTCCCGGGACTCTCTTTTCTGATATACTTTGGTAACTTGTAAAGAAGAAACCTGAAACAATGAAGGATTATTAGTAATTATAAATCAGTCCATTGGGATGGATAAGCCATAGCCCCTTCTGCCTTGTGTCACATGAGAGATTTGAGTCAACAGGGCCTCCCGCAGAGAGAACTGTATCCATGAAAATAAACTTCAACTGAAAACATTTTAAAAGTATGTTCCAAAAATATGTAAAACAGAAACATATCCACAGCGTGAGTCAGTGTTCTGTGATTGCCATTGTGGATGGCAGACTTACACAGCTTTGCTTCAGCGGAAACAAAAGCCTTAGGCAACACTCAGCCCTAATGTAAGTGTGTGTAATTCCATTGAAGTTAAGGGAGTTAAATCCACTTACAGTGCGCCTGACTTTGGCCCTTAGTATTCTAGACACCCTGAAGCACATCCATTGCTATTTAGAATAGTTTGCAGTGTAATTCTACACTGAAAATTGACACTGTCTTATTCAACAATTCTGCTCTCTGTTTGTGTCACATCTGGTGACAGAAAATCTTTTTTATTGCTTTTTACATGTTAGCCCTTCAGAGCCCTAACACAGCTAAAACAGAATGAGCAAGATTCTATTCCTCTTTGTGGTTCATAAACAGAACTGTTCAGTAAGTTTCAATCAGTTACACCTGTGAAAAGGTGCAGAAGGCAATGGGGTTTCACAGATGTTGCTAGGAGTCTAAGGCTATTTCTACACTTGCAGAGTTTTTGCACTGTAAGTTTCATCAGTGATAGGGAACCGGTGAAAGTAAAGCACTGGTTTGTGTACTCACTTAATTCCTCAGGCGTCAGAGAGCACTTCCATTACTGATGAGAACAGCACTCTAGGGCAGCTATTCCACAGTGCAGCTCTCTCCAGTTTGAAGATGGGTCTTGTGGGAAGGGGTGTGTGTGTGATCACGGGGCATCCTGGGTCCCTGCACAACCTCCTCTCCCCAAAGACTGATCAGCTCCAGTAGCTCAACATTGCTCCAAGCAGGAGATCGTTTGCTCCCTGGAACAGGCATTGTCACCTGGCCAGATAAGTGAGGACTTGCCAAGAAAACAGGAAGGGGAGTTCCAGGGGCTTTACTGGGGGAGGGGTGGATGTCTGTTTACCGGGCATCAGAGCAGCAGAGCTGCCAGCCAGAGTGGTCGCCTAGGCACTGGGGGAGATCCTCCGGAGGCTAAAAGCTGTGTAAATAGGAAGAATGTGTCTTCACTTGCACATCACTGCAAAAGCATCACCGGTAAGAGCTGTATGCCTCTCGTGGAGGTGGTTTTCTTTTTGTGGTGAAACTTCTGAGTTTCACTGCAAAAAGTCATTGGCAAGTGTAGATGCTCCCATGGTTTTTGCGCAAAAAAGGGACTTTTCCCACTTTAAATGGCAAAGTTATTGCCTGTGACTGAATTTTGAGTTAATAGAATTAATGTCTCCGCTCTTAACATTTTTTAGTGTGCTACTTACAAACTGAATATTTTAAATTACCATGTCCTTTGTTTGGACAATTATCAAGATACTGCCTAACCTTGGCTGCATCCTGGAGATGCTGAGTGCCTTCTGTGAGGTGCTGAGGGTCCCCAAATTCCGTTGACTTCAGTGGCCTTCAGGACACTAGCACCTTGAAACAGGAAATCAGCATCTTACATAATTTAACACCTTAGGTCCTGTTCCTATGAAAAGATTCCAGGCAGTATTCAAATGAATGAAGAAGAGGCACATTCTGCCCTCATTACAGATTACTGATTTTACAATCCTTTGTGCAGATTAAACTTTTATTGAGTACAGAGCAAGTTTTACACAAGTAAAGATTACAAGATTAGCTCCTAAATGTAATGTAAATACCTGGGGACATTTGACAACTTGTTCCCTTGAGACAGAGTTTATTCCAGATGAGTCTTGGGAACATAATTGTTGCCACAGTAAATCAGACAAGTGATCCATCTAGTTTAGTATGAAATGCTACAGAGGAAGGTGCAAGAATGCCAAAAATAAGCAACTATGGAATATTGTAGAATGAAACCAAAGATATTGAATACTCAATTCACCCTGCTGCTAACTGAATACTGTAATTAGAATTCAGTACAATTTGTTCTATAGCACGCAATTGTCTTTTGTGCGATAGGAAATTTTATGCAACAGTTTCACTTCTGCTCCTCATTGCTACTTCATACCACACAAAATCGGAATCAAGTAACCCTTGAATATTTTTTTAGCAACAGGCCTGAATTACCAAAAAAGTGAAGCGTGTGGCCTTCTTGGTCAAGGAGCCATACTTCAAAAGAAATTTCCCACTTTTCCCCCCTTAAAAACTTGATTCTTTGTATCTTTGGACCCAAACTTGTAAACTGATCTACACGGGTTCACACTGATGCAGGAGTCCACCTTCACAGATCATTTTGCAGGGTTGGGGCCTTAGCTACTTGTCTCTGAACATTTAAAATGTCTTAAATTGTCATAGAATCATTTCATTGCTAACACCCATGATTGTGTAATATAAACAATATAATTGAATAGCAAAAATGTACAGGCCTAAGGGATATGATGTCTCATAAATCTTTAATAACAAGCACAGGAGAGGAATTTTCCTGAGCATCTGGACTCTGTAAGTTTATGTGTTTAGACATGTACAAATCCTACGCTGAAGGGAATGAAAAGTGATGTTGTCTTTACCGTGTTGACAGGCTGTGCTAAGGATCTGACCCTGCAAACATTAATTATTATTTTAATTATTGTAGCACCTAGGACGAGAGCCCATTGTGCTAAGCAAACACAGAACAAAGACAGTCTTATGAACTATGAAGCATTGACTTCAACGGCACTAGTCATGTGCCGAAAGTAAAGCATGTGCTCATGTGTTAGCAGGATCAGGGCCTAATTTTACAAGTATGTTACTTGTATCAATCTGTAAGAAATGACTCTTTTCTTTCTAAAATTGGTTGATGTTTATCGTTGGTGATCAGTGTTTCTAACAGTACTTGTTCCATTGCTAAGACCTGTGATTAGATTTATGAATAATAATAATAGTTAACACTTTTCATGGTCAAGGTGCATTATCTAATTAATCAGTTTAGTGATTTAACACTGTAAGCACATTGCTGCCAGTTACTGCTGCCAGTTCTAGTACTGGCATTTCTGGAGACTGACTGCCCCAAGTGACCTACAGTCCCAGAAGATGACATAGAATCATAGAATATCAGGGTTGGAAGGGACCTCAGGAGGCCATCTAGTCCAACCCCCTGCTCAAAGCAGGACCAATCCCCAACTAAATCATCCCAGCCAGGGCTTTGTCAAGCCTGACCTTTAAAACTTCTAAAGAAGGAGATTCCACCACCTCCCTAGGTAATACATTCCAGTGTTTCACACCCTCCTAGTGAAAAAGCTTTTCCTAATATCCAACCTAAACCTCCCCCACTGCAACTTGAGACCATTACTCCTCGTTCTGTCATCTGCTACCACTGAGAACAGTCTAGATCCATCCTCTTTGGAACCCCCTTTCAGGTAGTTGAAAGCAGCTATCAAATCCCTCCTCATTCTTCTCTTCCGCAGACTAAACAATCCCAGTTCCCTCAGCCTCTCCTCATAAGTCATGTGTTCCAGTCCCCTAATCATTTTTGTTGCCCTCCGCTGGACTCTTTCCAATTTTTCCACATCCTTCTTGTAGTGTGGGGCCCAAAACTGGACACAGTACTCCAGATGAGGCCTGGACACAGTATTCCAGATGAGGCCTCACCAATGTCGAATAGAGTGGAACGATCACGTCCCTTGATCTGCTGGCAATGCCCCTACTTATACATCCCAAAATGCCATTGGCCTTCTTGGCAACAAGGGCACACTGTTGACTCATATCCAGCTTCTCGTCCACTGTAACCTCTAGGTCCTTTTCTGCAGAACTGCTGCCGAGCCATTCGGTCCCTAGTCCGTAGCGGTGCATGGGATTCTTCCATCCTAAGTGCAGGACTCTGCACTTGTCCTTGTTGAACCTCATCAGATTTCTTTTGGCCCAATCCTTTAATTTGTCTAGGTCCCTCTGTATCCTATCCCTATCCTCCAGTGTATCTACCTCTCCTCCCAGTTTAGTGTCATCTGCAAACTTGCTGAGGGCGCAATCCACAACATCCTACAGATCATTTATGAAGATATTGAACAAAATCGGCCCCAGGACCGACCCTTGGGGCACTCCACTTGATACCGGCTGCCAACTAGACATGGAGCCATTGATCACTACCCATTGAGCCCGACAATCTAGCCAACTTTCTATCCACCTTATAGTCCATTCATCCAGCCCATACTTCTTTAACTTGCTGGCAAGAATAATGTGGGAGACCGTGTCAAAAGCTTTGCTAAAGTCAAGGAACAACACGTCCACTGCTTTCCCCTCATCCACAGAGCCAGTTATCTTGTCCTAGAAGGCAATTAGCTTAGTCAGGCATGACTTGCCCTTGGTGAATCCATGCTGACTGTTCCTGATCACTTTCCTCTCCTCTAAGTGCTTCAGAATTGATTCCTTGAGGACCTGCTCCATGATATTTCCGGAGACTGAGGTGAGGCTGACTTGCCTGTAGTTCCCAGGATCCTCCTCCTTCCCTTTTTTAAAGGTGGGCACTACATTAGCCCATCCTCTCTTTAATCACAGAATAGCACTTTCCCACACTCTGCTTGCCAATATGCCTCAGCCTGGATCCATCTGGAGAGGGTTCAGTTTTATTTTTCAATCAATTCTTGGCCACTGAGCTGATATGGCTACGGAAGGGGGTCAATTCACGCCAATGTTTTGTTATGATACAGACACCTATGAGGACTGGCCTAAGACTGAGATAATAACAAAGAGTCCCAACTTTCCTACTTTCAACCAAGTTTCCTAGCAGTGAAAAGCCACTTTCGCAACAACTCACTGTAATCTGGGTCCTACCAATGTTGCTTGAAATGCACCTGACTCCCAGAGGCTTGCCATAAGAACACAGCTTGCATGCTCACTTTGATCATAGGAAATTAGGTTTTTTTTGTCAACCAATGATCATTTTGTAGTTAGTCATAATGCAATGATGAATTAGTTACAATGAAATTCAATCAGATTTCAGTAATCTACATTTCACTCGCCAGACATGGTTCAAAGGCTACCTCCAAAGTAAAAGAGACGGAGACACAAATTTATATGCATTACAGTTCTCTGATCCATCTACTTAATGATTTTACATTCCAAAACTTCTCCATACATGTTCTTTACCTACCAATCAACCGGGTCACCATCTTCACTTCTGCAGGAAATTTCAGCTGCCCACAGGGACCTGATGGAACAAAATAACAGCAAAAAAGCACAACTCCATAAAGATCTTGCAGTCATTTCTGGTCTCAGCTCTACAGAATGAGCAAACTGTAGATTTTAAAAGGAGAAGTTGTTTTGTGAAGTGCATTTCTCTTGTTTGATTCAGTTTCAACCCCGTCAGCCCTCAACACAATGTTTCACAGCAATAAAAACACATTTCCCAACCAGCTGCAGTGCTGCAAAGCACTAGTGTTCTTATGAGATGCTAAGCTGTGGGGTCGTTCCCTTTTCCAGTACTATTTCTGCATACAGAGCATTGGCTCTCTCATCTGGTATTTGGTGCACAAAATGTGGATAATACATATTTTACATTTTGAAGAGATTGTTAGGTTTGGCTGACCTCTCCTATTGTGAATCTTTTTTGCATTTGATTGGACCGGACCCCCTGGATTCTGTAGCCCTAACTTTGGTTCCTGATCACTTGGTAGAAGTATGAATTCAGTTCTGGATCTGAACTTTGAAACTTGGGTCCCTCTTAAATTTTCTGGTGGAGTCTTTTGTCTGACAAAGCCAAAGCTGTTCTCACACCTGTCTGCAAGTACCTTTGTGGTAGGACAGCTGTGCACTGTTTCAGAATATAATAAATAATAAATAATAATACTTAGCTCTTATATAATTCTTTTAATCAGTAGATCTCAAAGAGCTTTATAAAGAAATATTGTTACAGCCATTTTACTTTTATCAGCTATTCTTTTACTCTACCAATTTCATATAGCCTAATTATGCCACACTGTGGACCAAATTCTCAGTCTCATTAATGAAACCTCATCTTTAGCCTTCTTCAGATCTTATTGTTCAATCAGACCAGCCACCAGGAGAGTTTTGACATTATGTCTTCTAACGGTCAAGTTACAGTAGTGGTTTTTCTCAATTCAGTGATTTTTGCTTGCCCTGTCCTTTTCTTGGTGTGAGTGCTATTATACCTAAGACTGTGTCTACGGTACAGAAACTACACCACCATTGCTATGTTGGCATAGCTATGCTGGCATAAACCCATAGTGTAGATGCAGCCTAGACCAATGGAAGGGGTTTTTCCATCCCTGTGGGAACACTACCGCTCAGAACAAAGTCTATATTGACAGAAGCACTTTTCTTTAGACAAAGCTACTAACTGGGGGTTAGCTGTGCCTACGGTGATCAGGGGTGTGGTACTGTCAACCTAACTTTTAAGTATAGGTCAAGCCTCAAGGATGAGTCCCTGATAAATGTGACTCTTTAGTTATTGTCACTTACTGTGCATGCTGACTAGGTGTTTAGAATGACAGAGCTAGAATTCAGTGACATCCACATCATCCATAAAATCCATTTTCATACAAAACATTTACGCTAAAAAGGACAAACTGTGCATGTTGTATTCTGTATGCCAATGTACATTATCATGTTATTTGTCTTCTTAAATCAAAACTATAGAACAATTTACTCTGGATATCTGCAAACACTTTATTTCATCATCTTGTCATGTGGTAAATGTCAAGACGTATTGTGGTAGCATCTAGAAAAAGACTAGTATAATGCAGCATATTTATTCTGGATAAATTTGTTTCTTTCTCAGTTCATTTTTTAAAAGTCACACTACAATGCACTGCAGTTTTATTTACAAATGTGCTTTTGATTTATAGAATGGAGTTCCCCATCTCCATTAATTTATCTTTGTTCCTGAAGGAATTCGCTTTTGTGAAGTCAAACAGAGTCAGTATGGTGAGCAAATTATAAATCATTTTCCAGCAGCATCATTACTACTTCCTTAATGTCTCTATTGATTAAAGACAAAGACAGGTTTAGAAATGGTTACAGGAGTTAATGCATTTAGAACAGGGGTCTCGAAGTCCCTTCTTGCAAGCCATCTGCGGCCCGAGAACCTCCTCACTGTGGCCCATGGAGGAGAGACCCATGCAGCCGTGCTGCTGGCTCTGTCTGCTGCAGGTGCCGCCCCCCACAGCTCCCATTGGCTGGGGGAGAGGGACAGAGATACCAATACTAGTCTCTGGGCAGAGTCAGCCGTGGAGGCAGCGTCACTTTTTTCCACAATGAATATAAATAAGTCAAAATACCGAACACAACTATCTGATGCCCACCTTGCTGCAATCCTGAAGGTTTCAACTACTCAGTCACTGAGGCCAAACATCAACAAACTGACAGAACTGAAGCGTTGCCAGGTGTCTGGCAAACACTAAAAACTCTATGGCAGGCGAAGAATTATATAAAGTTGTATGACAGTTTTATTATTTCTAAGAAATTCAAAATAAAAAATGCAATATAAATGTTTTCTTTTCTGAACACCATCTTCAGTGACATTATTGGCCCGCTGGGAGGATTTGAGGACTGGCACTGGCCCTAAGGTAAATTGAGTTTGAGACCCCTGATTTAGAACACAATCTTAGGGTCACCATAGCTCTAAAACAAAGAAGGGGGTGGGCATTCAACATTTTTAATCTAAGTCTGATTCTGCATCCTTGTCCACTAAATCATGAGTGAACAAGTAAGGCAGGATCCAGCTTATGTATTTGTATAGTTTTCCAAAACACAAAACAATTACAATTGTACACAAAGCACTACAACTACAGAAACACAAGATTTAACTGTCTTCTGAAAATGACCTGCTCAGATTAATACATTGTAGTATAGCCAATGACTATCAGTATTACTGTAACAGTAATTACACTTCCAAAGACATTTTAAGTCCAACTGCCTAGTTTACACTAATACTGCAAAACTCCATGGATATGCCTTGGCTTTATTTCTAACAAGACAAAAATTCAATATGACAAATCAGGCCAGAAGAACCTCAACCTAACCTCAAAAATTTCACCCATATCTTCATGCAAGCAATTTTTCATATGTAAACACTCAAATGTGTGTGTGCAAATTCTGCATTCCTTGAATAACCAAAACTCACACTGACTTCAGTGAGAGTTTTGTGGGTGCTCAAGAAATGCAGAATTTCAGGCTATATTTACATATGTAAATTAGGGTGTTATTTCTCTAGATACCAATTTAAAAATACATATTCCAATAAGGGCTGTCAAGCAATTAAAAAAATTAATCATGATTAATTGTGCAATTAAAAAAATTAATCGTGATTAATCGTGCTGTTAAACAATAATAGAATACCATTTTTTAAAATATTTTTGGGTGTTTTCTACACTTTAAATATATTGATTTAAATTACAACACAGAATACAAAGTGTACAGTGCTCACTTTATATTATTATTTTTATTTCAAATATTTGTACTGTAAAAAACAAAAGAAATAGTATTTTTCAGTTCACCTAATACAAGTACTGTAGTGCAATCTCTTTACCATGAAAGTTGAACTTACAAATGTAGCTTTATGTACAAAAAATAACTGCATTCAAAAATAAAAAAATCTTAAACTTTAGAGCCTACAAATCCACTCAGTCCTACTTCAGCCAATTGCTCAGACAAAATAAGTTTGGTTACACTTTGCAGGAAATAATGCTGTCCGCTTCTTGCTTACAATGTCACCTGAAAGTGAGAACAGGTGTTCGCATGGCCAGTGTCACAAGATATTTATGTGCCAGATGCGCTAAAGATTAATATGTCCCTTCATGCGTCAATCACCATTCCAGAGGACATGCGTCCGTGCTGATGATGGGTTCTGCTTGATAATGATCCAAAGCAGAGCGGACCAACACATGTTCATTTTCATCATCTGAGTCAGATGCCACCAGCAGAAGGTTGATTTTCTTTTTTGGTGGTTTGGGTTCTGTAGTTTCCGCATTGGAGTGTTGCTCTTTTAAGACTTCTGAAAGCATGTGCCACACCTCATCCCTCTCTGATTTTGGACAGCACTTCAGATTCTTAAACCTGGGGTCGAGTGCTGTAGCTATCTTTAGAAATCTCATATTGGTACCTTTTTTGCGTTTTGTCAAATCTGCTGTGAAAGTGTTCTTAAAATGAACATGTGCTGGGTCATCATCCGAGCCTACTAACACATGAAATATATGGCAGAATGCGGGTAAAACAGAGCAGGGGATATACAATTTTCCCCCAAGGAGTTCAGTCACAAATTTAATTAATTCATTATTTTTTTTAACAAGCATCATCTTCATGGAAGCATGTCCTCTGGAATGGTGGCCGAAGCATGAAGGGGCATATGAATGTTTAGCATAACTGGCACGTAAATACCTTGCAATGCTGGCTACAAAAGGTCCTGTGAACGCCTGTTCTCACCTTCTCGTATTATAAATAAGAAGCAGGCAGCAGTATCTCCCGTAAACATAAACAGACTTGTTTGTCTTAGCGATTAGCTGAACAAGAAATAGGACCGAGTGGACTTGTGGTCTCTACAGTTTTACATTATTTTGTTTTTGAGTGCAATTATGTAACAAAAAAAATCTACATTTGTAAGTTACACTTTCACAATAAAGAGATTGTACTACAATACTTGTATAAGGTGAACTGAAAAATACTTTTATCATTTTTTACAGTGAAAATATTTGTAATAAAAATAATAATATAAAGTGAGCGCTGTACACTTTGTATTCTGTGTTGTAAAAGAAATCAGTGTATTTGAAAATGTAGAAAAACATCCAACATATTTAATAAATTTCAATTGGTATTCTATTTTTTAACAGTGCGATTAATCACGATTAATTTTTTTAAGTTAATCGCGTGAGTTAACTGTGATTAATTGGCAGCCCTAATTCAAATTCATTGCTGTGACTGCCAACAAGAGTGCCCGTTAGATCCAAATGTGTTGGTGTTTTATGTGACATGGGCATGTAACTATTGGGAATTGGACTGAGATCACTACAGTGTTAAGCACAATGGGACTCAAAGTTCTAGGCAATGCTGCAATGCAAACGACAACAAAAAAAACTCATTAGCTACTGAACAGCCAACAGATAGTAACAACTTTTAATTGCTACTGGTTGAGGCTGGATTCAAACTCATAACCTAAAGATTAAAGACTTTGTAGTGCATTACTAATCCTATGACCCAACCAGTCTATTGCCTAGTTTACAGCCTTGTTAGAACTGGAAGGGACCTCTATGGGTTATGTAGCACATCCCCTTGCATCTTGACAGGATCAGTTTCATTTCTGAACAACTTTAAAAGGCTCATTCGGATTGCTTTTCTTGTATTTCTACCAGTAGAAAAGGCAGAATCAGATACAAATTTCTAGTGAATTATGACCTTGATTTTCTATGGAAAGAGATGTTTAAAATTAATAAAGACATTTAACTATTGCCACAAAGGAATCCTACAAAAAGGGGAAACATGGACAAATTGCTAAGGATGAGTACAAAAGATTTGAATAGCAAGGAAAGCAAAAAGGCTAGGGCCAAAGTGAGTTACTCATAGCAAGGAATATAAAGGGCAATAAAAAGAGGTCCTATAAATAAATTATGAAGAAGAGAAAGATGAAGGAAAGTGTAAGTCCTCTACTTAGTGCGGACAGAAGAACTAATAATGGATAACATCAAGAAGGCTTCAGTCTTCACTCTTTTGCTCCAGTCTCCAATAAAAAAGTAAATTGTAACAATAGACTTAACATAATTAATATTAACAACAAGAAGGAAGACATACAAGTCAAAAGAGGGGAAAAAGAGTTTAAAGACTGTTTAGAAGTTAAATGTAGTATAGTCATCAGGTCCTGATGACATTCATCATAGGGTACTTAAGGAACTAATTGAAGCACTCTTGGAACTGTTAGCAATTACTGTTGAGAACTCATGAAGGACAGATGAAGTCCCAATGGACTGGAGAAGGGCAAACATAGAACCAGTCTTTAATAAGGGGAATAAAGAGAACCTTAGAGAACTACAGACAAGTCAGCCTAACTTCAATACCTGGAAAGATACTGGAACAAATTACTAAACAATTGATTTGTAAGCATCTAGAAGATAATAGAGTTATAAGTAATAGCCAACATTGATTTGTCAAGAATGAATAATGCCAAACTAACCTAATTTCCTTTTTGACAGGATTACTGGCCTAATGGATAGGAGGGAAGCTGTAGATATGATATATCTTGATTTTAGTAAGGCTTTTGGCACAGTCCCACAGGACATTCTCATAAACAAACTAGGGAAATGTGGTCTAGATGAAATGACTATAAGGAGGATGCAAAACTGATCGAAAGACCATACTCAAAGAGTAGTTATCAATGGTTCACTGTCAAACTAGGAGGAAATATCTAGTTGGGTCTGTCTTGGGACCAATACTATTCAATATTTTCATTAATGACTCAGATAATGTAGAGGAAAGTATGTTTATAAAATGTGTGGATGACACCAAGCTGGGAGGGATTTCTGGCACTTTGGAGGACAGGATTAGTCTTCAAAATGACCTTGACAAATTGGAAAATTGGTCTGAAATCAATAAGTTGAAATTCATTAAAGCCTAGTGCAAAGTACTACCACTCAAGAAGGAAAAGTCAAATGCACAACTAGAAAATGGGGAATAACTTGCTAAGCAGCAATACTTCAGAAAAGGGTTATAGTGGATCACAAATCGAATATGAGTCAAAATATGATGCAATTGTGAAAAAGGCTAATGTCATGCAGGGATATATCATTTTGCATGTAAGAGACAGGAGGTAATTGTCCCGGTCTACTTGGCACTGGTGAGACCTGAGATGGAATACTGTGTTCAGTTCTGGGCACTGCACTTTAAGAAAATTGTGGAGAAATTGGAGAAAGTCCACAGAAGAGCAACAAAAATGATAAGAGGTTTAGAAAACCTGACCTATGAGGAAAGGTTAAAAAACCTGGGCACGTTTAGTCTTGAGAAAAGAAGACTGAGGGGGGAACCTGATAACAATCTTCATATATGTTAAGGGCTGTTATAAAGAGGATGGTGATCCATTGTTCTCAGTGTCTACTGAAAGCAGAACAAGAAGTAAGGGGCAACAAGGTAGATGTAGGTTAGATATTAGGGGGAAAAATTCTAACAATAAGTATAGTTAGGCACTGGAATAGGCTTCCAAGGGAGGTTGTGGAATCCCTGTCATTGGCGGTGTTTAAGAATAGGTCGGAAAAACACCTGTCATGGATGGTCCAGGTATATGTGGTGGTGGTGGGGGGGTGGATTAGATGACCTCTTGACGTCCTTTCTAGCCCTACGATTTTGATTCTATTTTTTGGCAGCATGAACAGCATTGACTTTGGGTTCCTCATCCTTCTGGGAAAATTCCTTTTTGAACTTCCTTGCAAAAGCTAAGAAGGAAACCTTAATGAAATTAAAGAATTTATACCATTTTCTGGAAAAGCTCCTGGTTTTAATACACTGATAGGATTTCAGTTTTCAATGTCTAAAGACTCACTGCAACATGTATAAAAGCTAAAAATGTTAGCAAGCAAAGAACATGTACCCCAAGTCACCAGAATGACTTACCTTTTATTCTCAGTCTTGCTATCATGCAGCCCTTTAATAGATTTTTGGGGCTTACTGCACAGGTGAGGAGTAACGTATGCCATCATGTGCCAGCAATGCCCTTCTGCCATGTACATTGGTCAAACTGGACAGTCTCTACGTAAAAGAATAAATGGACACAAATCAGATATCAAGAATTATAACATTCATAAACCAGTCGGAGAACACTTCAATCTCTCTGGTCACGTGATTAAAGACATGAAAGTTGCAATATTACAACAAAAAAACTTCAAATCCAGACTCCAGTGAGAAACTGTTGAATTGGAATTCATTTGCAAATTGGATACAATTACCTTAGGCTTGAATAGAGACTGGGAGTGGCTAAGTCATTATGCAAGGTAACCTATTTCCCCTTGCTTTTTCTACCCTCCCCCCGAGGTTGTTAAACCCTGGATTTGTGCTGGAAATGGCCCACCTTGATTATCATGCGCATTGTAAGGAGAGTGGTCACTTTAGATAAGCTATTAGCAGCAGGAGAGTGGGTTTGTGTGTGTGTGGGGGGGGGGTGTGTGAGAAAACCTGGATTTGTGCTGGAAATGGCCCAACTTGATTATCATACACATTGTAAGGAGAGTGATCACTTTAGATAAGCTATTACCAGCAGGAGAGTGGGGTGGGGGGAGGTATTTTTTCATGCTTTGTGTGTATAAAAAGATCTTCTACACTTTCCACAGTATGCATCCGATGAAGTGAGCTGTAGCTCACAAAAGCTTATGCTCAAATAAATTGGTTAGTCTCTAAGGTGCCACAGGTACTTCTTTTCTTTTTGCGAATACAGACTAACACGGCTGTTACTCTGAAACCTAGAAAGGGTTTATAACCACTTCCTTTTTTCTTGCAAATAATTCTCTCTATCAAAATGTTCCTCCTACACAGCTTTGAAATTTACCTCTCAGTCAACGCTACATTTTACCTTTTCACTCTGCTAGTAAAAATGAGCTCTGTGAAAATTATTATAATCATAATTTTATTTCATTGCCAACACATCAAATGTTAAAACGCACAAAGCTTTTCATGTGCCAAAGAAAAGTCATGATTAAGTTAATTAATTCAAAATCTAACATGGGATGGCATAAAATAGGGGATTTTATCTTTTGATAAACATTTCATAGGTGCTCAGACAGAATTGTAATAAGCTTAAGATAAGATAAGATAAGATAAGATAAAAGAAATGCCCCTGGTAGCAGAGGAGCTGCTTAAATTGAGGCAGTGATACTTTACAGTAAGGAACATAAACTACATAAGAATGGCCATACTGGGTCAGACCAAAGGTCCATCTAGCCCAGCATTCTGTCTTCCACAGCAGCCAATGTCAGATGCCCCAGAGGGAACAGAACAGGTAATCATCAAGTGATCCATCCCCTGTCACCCATTCCCAGTTTCTGGCAAACAGAGGCTAGGGACACCATCCCTGCCCATCCTGGTTAATAGCCAGTGATGGACCTATCCTCCATGAATTTATCTAGTTCTTTTTTTACCCCTGTTTTAGTCTTGGCCTTCACAACATCCTCTGGCAACGAGTTCCACAGGTTGACTGTGCGTTGTGTGAATAAATACTTCCTTTTGTTTGTTTAAAACCTGCTGCCTATTAATTTCATTTGGTGACCCCTAGTTCTTATGTTATCAGAAGAAGTAAAGAATACCTCCTTATTTACTTTCTGCACACCAGTCATGATTTTAAAGACCTCTATCATATCACCCATTAGTCATCTCTTTTCTAAACTGAAAAGTCCCAATCTTATTAATATCTCCTCATATGGAAGCTGTTCCATACCCCTAATAATTTTCATTGCCCTTTTCTGAATCTTTTCGAATTCCAATATATCTTTTTTGAGATGAGGGCGACTACATCTGCATGCAGTATTCAAGATGTGGGCATACCATGGATCTATATAGAGGCAATATGATATTTTCTGTCTCATTATCTATCCCTTTCTTAATGATTCCGAACATTCTGTTTGCTTTTTTGACTGCTGCTGCACATTGAGTGGATGTTTTCAGAGAACTATCCACAATGACTCCAAGATCTCTTTCTTGAGTGTTAACAGACAATTTAGACCCCATCATTTTATATGCTAGGCATATGAAACAAGCAGTTTCATTGCTCGTACCTGCAATGCATGACTATTTGCATAGCACTGTCTAAACTCCTTCAGTCCTGTCCATGCATGCACAGGGCTCTCCTTGGAAATATTATCTGAGGGCAGTCTTTTCTTTAGTTGCTCCAAAGTCCTGGTAAGAAATGGAGTAAATTATAGGAAATTATAGATAGAACTCCTTAGACAAGACTAAAACAGTAACAAAAATAATGCAAAGAATAAAAATTAGAATGTTATATGCAAAATAAAATATGATTATTCAGATGAGATAACAATCCATTTTAATATCTTATACACAAAGTGGCCAATATTTCAAAAGTAAAAAATTCCATTACAGTCTTTTTTTTAAAATTTAGTCTTACAAAGGCAAGAGCTACTACAGCTAAGAGATAGTGATTCGGACACAGCTTGACTTTTAGAGCCTATACAGAGCTGGAGTTAGGACTGTTCAAATGTAGTTTTGAAAATCACTGACAGAGAATAAATATCATGATTGGAGCTGGTCAGGAAATTGGTTTTCTTCTAAAAAAAGTCAAATTTTACTAAAAAAAATATTTGGGTTTTAGTAAAAAAATTTCAACAAAAACATTTTATGTGGAAAGCAGACATTTTTCATGAAAAATTTTGTTTTGTCAAAAATCCTATTTTCTATAAAAAACAGTTTTGATAGAAAACCTTAAACCATCCCTATTCATGATGCCATTTTTACACAATCATTTTTCAGAATACAAGCACCCTGGAAAAAATTATATCCCACTACCAATCCCTTGAGTCATCCAGTCCCTATCAGCAGAAAGAAGTTTATCTGTGTCTGGTTTAGAAGAGTAGACTCCTTTTTGGACCTGTATAGCCTCAGTTTTGGAGACATCTGGATGTAGTTACACGGCTGATTTCACATGCTGTACATACATCGTATAGATATGTGTTTCTCCAGTGCTTAGAAAATGAAATACTACTCAACTGTCACTAGTGATAACTCTTAAGTATCTTAATAGAAAGATTTGTGACACATCAACCATTAAGGAATTCCACCATGATTTCAACAACTTCCATCCCATCATCAACCTCAGCCTGGTCCAGTCCACACAAGAGATCCACTTCCTGGACACTACAGTGCTAATAAACAATGGTCACATAAACACCACCCTATACGGAAACCTACTGACCGCTATTCCTACCTACATGCCTCCAGCTTTCACCCTGACCACACCACACGATCCATCGTCTACAGCCAAGCTCTGCGATACAACCGCATTTGCTCCAACCCCTCAGACAGAGACAAACACCTACAAGATCTCTGTCAAGCTTTCTTACAACTACAATACCCACCTGCGGAAGTGAAGAAACAGATTGATAGAGCCAGAAGAGTTCCCAGAAGTCTCCTACTCCAGGACAGGCCTAACAAAGAAAATAACAGAACGCCACTAGCCGTCACCTTCAGCCCCCAACTAAAACCCCTCCAATGCATTATTAAGGATCTACAACCTATCCTGAAGGATGACCCAACACTCTCACAAATCTTGGGAGACAGGCCAGTCCTTGCCTACAGACAGCCCCGCAACCTGAAGCAAATACTCACCAACAACCACATACCACACAACAGAACCACTAACCCAGGAACTTATCCTTGCAACAAAGCCCGTTGCCAACTGTGCCCACATATCTATTCAGGGGACACCATCACAGGGCCTAATAACATCAGCCACACTATCAGAGGCTCGTTCACCTGCACATCCACCAATGTGATATATGCCATCATGTGCCAGCAATGCCCCTCTGCCATGTACATTGGTCAAACTGGACAGTCTCTACGTAAAAGAATAAATGGACACAAATCAGACATCAAGAATGATAACATTCATAAACCAGTCGGAGAACACTTCAATCTCTCTGGTCACGCAATCACAGACACGAAGGTCGCTATCTTAAAACAAAAAAACTTCAAATCCAGACTCCAGCGAGAAACTGCTGAATTGGAATTCATTTGCAAATTGGATACTATTAATTTAGGCTTAAATAGAGACTGGGAGTGGCTAAGTCATTATGCAAGGTAGCCTATTTCCCCTTGTTTTTTCCTACCCCACCCCCCAGACGTTCTGGTTAAACTTGGATTTAAACTTGGAGAGTGGTCAGTTTGGATGAGCTATTGCCAGCAGGAGAGTGAGTTTGTGTGTGTGTGTGTGTGTGTGTGTGTGTGTCCCCGGGAAAAAAAAGGGGGGGGGGTGAGAAAGCCTGGATTTGTGCTGGACATGGCCCACCTTGATTACCATGCACATTGTAGGGAGAGTGGTCACTTTGGATGAGCTATTACCAGCAGGAGAGTGAGTTTGTGTGTGTATGGGGGTGGGAGGGTGAGAAAACCTGGATTTGTGCTGGAAATGGCCCACCTTGATTATCATGCACATTGTAGGGAGAGTGGTCACTTTGGATGAGCTATTACCAGCAGGATAGTGAATTTGTGTGTGTGTTTTTTGGAGAGGGGTGAGGGGGTGAGAGAACCTGGATTTGTGCAGGAAATGGCCCAACTTGATTATCATACACATTGTGTAGAGAGTTGTCACTTTGGATGGGCTATTACCAGCAGGAGAGTGAGTTTGTGTGTGGGGGGGTGGAGGGTGAGAAAACCTGGATTTATGCTGGAAATGGCCCAACTTGATGATCACTTTAGATAAGCTATTACCAGCAGGACAGTGGGGTGGGAGGAAGTATTGTTTCATGTTCTCTGTGTGTATATAAAGTCTGCTGCAGTTTCCACGGTATGCATCCGATGAAGTGAGCTGTAGCTCACGAAAGGTCATGCTCAAATAAATTGGTTAGTCTCTAAGGTGCCACAAGTACTCCTTTTCTTTTTGCGAATACAGACTAACACGGCTGTTACTCTGAAACCTATGGGGAAATAGTTTTGCTTTGTGTAGTGACCCATCCACTCCCAGTCTTTATTCAAGACAGTCTCTACGTAAAAGTATAAATGGACACAAATCAGACGTCAAGAATTATAACTTTCAAAAACCAGTCGGAGAACACTTCAATCTCTTTGGTCACTCAATTACAGACCTAAAAGTGGCAATTCTTCAACAAGAAAACATCAGAAACAGACTCCAATGAGAGACTGCCGAACCGGAATTAATTTGCAAACTGGATACAATTAACTTAGGCTTGAATAAAGACTGGGAGTGAATGGGTCGTTGCACAAGGTAAAACTATTTCCCCATGTTTATTCCCCCCTCACCCCCACTGTTCCTCAGATGTTCTTGTCAACTGCTGGAAATGGCCCACCTTGATTATCACTACAAAAGGTTCTCCCCCCCACCCACTCTCCTGCTGGCAATAGCTCACCTTACCTGATCACTCTTGTTACAGTGTGTATGGTAACACTCATTATTTCATAGTCTCTGTGTATATAAATCTCCCCACTGTATTTTCCACTGCATGCATCCGATGAAGTGAGCTGTAGCTCACGAAAGCTTATGCTCAAATAAATTGGTTAGTCTCTAAGGTGCCACAAGTACTCCTTTTCTTTTATCAACCATTCATGCACCTGAAAGAGGTTTGATTGTCACCTGGGGCCAAACAAAAATCTAGCTTCCCTTGCTCAGAAAAATCTTAGTCCCATAGTGAAACAAAAGTTAATTTTCAGTTATCAGTGTAATCAAAAGGATTAGACATATGAAACTTCCCAATGTGATCATCCAAAAGAGCTTCTCAAATAAAAAGTCCAGAAATCTCCTGGTTGGTATTCAGAAGACTACAATCCTCACAATGCTACAGGGATCTGCAGTAGTAAGTTTTAAATGCAGCACTAGAGGTCAAGACTGAAAGTACCAACTGTCAACTTGAAGCTGTGGGTACAAAAACCAGTATCTGCAAGTAATCCAAATTGCAAGTGTTCACGTTGGCTACTTGCCATGCAAATCTAACACATGAGAACTCATACTGGACTAGATGTGAAAGAGGGACTTTAGATAGGGTTCTAGTCTATGTATAGTGTATTTCCTACAATACTACTTTTCATTTATGGGTCGGAAAAGCCCTCTTAATCACCCTCTTGTGCCACATCACCTATGGCCCAATTCAATTCCCATTGAAGTCAATGGGAGTCCTTCCATTGATTTCAGTGAGAGCTGAAACAAGTCCTAGCTCTTTCTAACAGGCTGATCTAAAAAGATAAGGTGTGTAGTGCTCTCAACTCCCATTGACTTTAATGGGAGCTGGATTGGGAATTTGCCATTCCTTAAAGGAGGGCTCAGCACCTTTTCAGGATTAAACTGTAATTTTTAATGTATAGAATTTGGTGCTCAGTCACATATGTCTGTGTGCTTAATTTTTAAAAATACCTAGGTAACACACAAATGCATAAAATTGCACCTTGGAGTGAATGCTCTATGGCTAGGCAATTGACATCAGCTTGCTTTTTGTTATGATTAAAACTGCCTTATTTAAATTCTCTGGGCCTAATTTTCACATTTGCTGAGCACCCACAGCTCCCATTGACTTCAGCTGAAGTTGTGAGTGTTCAAGTGTTTCTGAAAATAAGGCTCTGACTGCTAGATTGTCAGTTGTGTAAACTAGCATAGCTCCAATGTGGAGCTGTGTCAATTTACACCAGCTGAGGATCTGGACTGAGCAGTTTGTATTTGAATACAGAGCATCTCTGCAAATAAATGAAGTTGCATCAGAATTGCTAAATACCTTAAATAAAATGCTTCTTTGCAATATTATAGGGTTGGGAGGTGGTCTGAGCGGGAAGGCAGGGGAGAGGGCTTACTACAAACCCTGTGTAAAATAAAATGTTTCGTCAGTAATTTTAGATCTTTCCCTTAAAAATATTATTTGAAAGTATACTGTTCATGAGTGTGTCCTTGAGGCATTTTCTGGGCCACCAACCTCTGGGGAATACTCACCCTTTCACCAGAAGACTGTCAATGATATTCAGATGCTCACCCTGGCAAGAGTTCCACAGGTATCTTTTTCACCATTTAATATTTAGCTCATGAAACAAATACAGTCGTGGGATCCACTGAGAAGTTCAGGCTGAGCCCATTTGTCTAGATAACCTAAGTAAAACATGAAACTGCCCAGAGAGGCAGCTACCTGTTTTGGAAAAGTGAGAATGCAGAGAAAATGCAG